CTATATATATATAAGCGCGAGTCGATCTGTTGAAAAACAAAAAAGAAACGTATATATATATATTAAACTTTACAAACATTTTGCACCGCGAGTAAACGGGAAATCCGTCATAAATTTTTGTCGAAACTTTTCCCGCACTTCTTCTCCATTATATATAAAATCCCCCCACAGTAGCTACTGTTTAAAAACCACAAATCTCCCTTTTGCGCTTTGATTTATATGATAAAAAAATTTTTTTTCGAAAATAAGAAAATTTATATCAATCATTATGAAATATATTTTAATGATGCGTAATTTAATACACCTTTATTCATATAATTTGATTTACGAAACTGGGAAAATTGCAATTAAAATTCCTGAATTTCTTATCTCTTTCCCTGTTTGCAAATTGTAATAAAATTATATTATCAGTGAAGATGAATATTCCTCTAGAAAGTTGAGTTTGCATCAGACAGATAAATAAATAGGTTTTTTGAAATGTGATATGTGAAATTGCATTTCAGTTATGTTATTCTGAGAACAAATAATTTTTTATAGAAAATAAAAATTATACATATAAAAATAAGTGACAATTTTAAAAATGTATTTCTGATGAGAGAAAATAAATCAATTCCCGTGTGAAAAAAAAAAAAAATAATTGACTTTAATTGGGTGGAATCCGTCATGATATCCGAGTCATTGAAGCGATAAGATGATAATCACTCCTCGATAAACAGTGAAAGCCTTAAGAGATAAAATGCACAAAGAGACGAAAAAAAGAAAACAAAGATATGTTCCTTTTTGGTTAAAAGTGCAATGACTCGACATTCATCATTTTAAACGATTGACAATTGTAAAGTGAAATAACAAATTTAAATATGACAAAAATTATTTTCTAATTCTATCGAAATGTTCTCAAATTTGAGAAATAACTAAATCAAAATAATTAAAAATAAAATTATCTTTTACTGACAAGAAAAAAGGAAAATTGAACTAACTTTTCCGTTGGTTTCAATTCATTATAAAATTATTATATTTGTCGTATAATTTATCCTAAAATGTCATATTGTGATCAAAATGCTTAAAACAATTAATACAGAATGAATAGAGGAGAGGAATATAATAAAATTTTATGGGAAATCTCTGTGTGGTTTCATCTCTCCCGGAACGCAGCCTCCAAAATTCAATTGACCATTATACTTAATGGATTGAACAGGCATGGGTTGAATTATTGACGCAAAGTGATCGTTATCAAGCCACGAGTCAATTTTCCTAAATGGCATATATATGTATGTGTGTATATACATAGTGTTCAAATTCCAAATAAAAATTCTTCTTTTTATATGGTAAAGAGAATTTTTTTTTTCCCAAAAAAAAATCTTTTTTAAATTTCTAAACGAACGACCCAGTTTAATATATAATCTTGTACGCAAGTAGACATTGAGAGATTGAAGAGACAAATCTGGGTTCGAGGGATGAGGGTTGCAGGAAGGGGATATTTTGTTGGACGGTATTTAGGATCGGAAATTCTATGATGCGTGTGACGTGAATTTATCGAAGTACTTGATGCTAAAAGAGGAAAAACAAACGCGTGAAAAGAATATGAGATAGACGATATATATATATACTTAATCGTTCATTTTGAATTGAAAGAGATATGCGAGATGATACGAAGTGCAACATACAGTGAGAATAATGCAATTTTCGAATTTGACGAATCAGCACATCCAAAATCTATTTCAAATTAAATTCACTGACTTTGAATCAACAATTTCCTATGTCACATCACATACAAATTTCGTGAGTGAAATGAATTTATCTATTTGGAGCTTAATGCAGAAATTATATCTTTATGACATAAAATTTTGTCATTTGAATTAGAATTATAAGTAATTCATTAGTTTGATATAGTGCAAATAAAATGCAGTTTCTTCACAAAAGTTAAAAAATAAAATTGTACCGACAGTTAAAAAAAAGTTAAATTTTTGTATTTTTAATTTTTTTTTCCGTAAAAGGAGTAATTTTATTTTTAACAGATTGAAAATTAAAAATTCACGTTTTGTATAAAATGGAAAATTAACTTTTATTTTGATTGTCTGATTTTTCCTTAAAAAAAAAGTATATTGCACATTGTTATATATTCAAATTAAACAGGAGATTTATTTTGGAATTATTTCCCTGATTGGGTATAATATTTATTGTATATTTGGATTTTGCAATTATAGACATTTGCATTGGTAAATTATTGCATTGTGAAATATTTTCCATATATGAATAATAAAGAATTTAATATATATAGAATAAAGAATTAAATTTGTTCTAAAATTAAAATTTTAGAATAAATTAGAAAATAGAATACAATAACAATTGAATAAATGAAATATAAAAAGCAATATAATTAAATATTGAAATATCGATACTTATAAATAAAATTTAAAAGTTTTCAATATACATATTGTATAGAGTAGTAAAATGAAACTCTTGTTAATGAAAAACTGGTTAAATTCGTCTTTCAAGTGAAATAAAATGCCATGCTGGAAAAATGATTAAAAAAAAAAAAAAAATCAAGGAAATTTAATATGAATTTTTTTTCACGAAAAAAAAAGAATTCAACTTGCTTCTTTCGTTCGTTGAATTTTCGATTTTATATGCCACCCACTTGAACCCCTTCCCCCCTCTACCGCACACCAAGAAATACTCTCTAAATCTGAATCAGTCATATTTTACTAATTAGCAATCTCTAAATCTGAATTAGTAAAAATGTTTACTAATTTGAATTAGTGACTCACTTTTTGCTTCTGAATTAGTTAAATTTTACTAATTGTTAGTAAAAGTTACTAATAATTAGTAAAATTTTACTAATTCAGAAGCAAAAAGTTACTATTTCAAATTAGTAAACATTTTTACTAATTCAGATTTAGAGAGCAGTAGAAAACTACTAATTGCAGTAGCGAGAATTGAGCAACTGATAATTAGTAGAAATTTACTGATTCAGTTAGTAAAATATGAATTACTGATTGAATCAGTAATATATAAATATATGGCGGCGGACACAAAATCTACTGATTTAATAGTTAATTTTAAAGGTTATGTTATATTCAAATTACTGATTTACATAACCCAAGAAGCACGTAATATAACCTCAATATCAAAGTAATATTACATGTAAGATTTGTAATATAACATTGTAATATTACAGTAATCTTACAGTGATCTTAAAATGTCCGCCTCAAGGTAATATTACCGGTAATGTTACTGTAATATTACGCGCTAATATTAAGGTAATATTACAGTAATATTGCAGTAATATTATACCGTAATATTAAGGTAATATTACAAGAGAATATTACAGTAATATTATGGGAACATTTCTTTACGAAAAAAATCTACCCATCCAGGGAATCGAACCCCGAACTCAAAGCATACGAGTCCAGAGTTTTACCAACAAGCCAAATTGACTTATAATATATTTACGTTTTTTATGCTTTATGAATAACTCAAATCAGTCTGTAATATTACTGTAATATTACTGTAATATTACCGTTAATATTACAGTAATATTCCCGGTAATATTACCTTGAGGCGGACATTTTAAGATCACTGTAAGATTACTGTAATATTACAGCGTTATATTACGAATCTCACGTGTAATATTACCTTGATATTGAGGATATATTACGTGCTTCTTGGGAAGTTATTTTCTATTGCTTGCATATTCACTAATTATATTAGTAAATTTCAAAAAATAACTGAAACTTTAGTTAAAATCGAAAAGTACTGATTGAATTAGTAAAATTTCTACTGATTCAGATTTAGACAGTACTGTCATAAAAATTTCTTTGATTAAAAAACATATACTTGGGATGCATATTCTTGTTTCGATCGAATATTATTTACTGTGTATATAAATCATTTTGAAAGAGCAAGATCATGACGATCATATTTCTTCATTTAGTAAAAGCTGGACATGTTGCCTATATATATACGCTTCATTTCCCTAGGATTAATGCTTTAACCTATAATATATCACATTTACAAAATAGAGGTAATTTTTTGTTTTTTTTAAACTGAAACAAAATTATTGAATATTTTTTTTTGCCCTTTAAATCTAAATTAGTAAAAAAGAATCTTGAGTAAAATTAGAAACTCAAAAACAGATTTATTAAAATTTTTACTATTCTTTATATAATTTTGATTTTTTTTAAAGACTAAAAATTCTTAAATGAATTAGATGACCTCTTCTTACTTCCGTAATTTTTTTTAAATATATGTGACATTCCGACATATAAGCGCGCGGTTTGGATTTAAAACCCACAGGGTTGCCTTCAAACGCGGTATGTATAGCGGTGAATGTTACATTCTTTCATAAAAAAAAAATAATGAATGCTAAGAAAAAAGGAATGGCACATATAAAATTATAATTAAACATACAATCATAAAAAAAAGCTTTTGCAAATGAAATTTATAAATTGATCCGATTTTTTAATAGCTATCACAAATAAATAAAATCTTAATAAGCAAATGACGTTAACAAATAATCAAAAAAAAAAGAAAGATTCGCACATTCCAATAATGATAACGAAAAATTCTTTTTATTTTTTTCTTTTGCAAATGTGAGATAGACAAAGGTGCTTATCAAACAAGATAAGAAAGATATTTCCTATAGAGATGCGTTTGCCTTAATTTCTATACCTATAAACAATAGTAATAGTTTTTAGAAAACGATTTTTTAAATTTTTAATATTTTAAAATCGTTACAAAATTTGTTTTGCACGTTTTGCATATAGAAATATTTACAAAAAAAAAAATGTAATTTCACTATATGTCGCATAATAATAGGTTTATTGGGGTTTTTTTTTTCATCTAGAATAACGTCTATTTTCGTAAAGACTCTCTTTCTATAAACCCGTAAAGCTTCATAACCTAGCTCAACGTGTTTCATCTTTCGCCTCTTCTGGCTCGCCAACATATACGAGAAAAAGTGAGAGAGAGAGAGATCTTCAAGAAAATATTAGTCTTACCTGCTTTAGAAAATCCTTCTATCTCTGCGGACAATTCGCTTCTGCAAACGATTGCACACTCACGAACATAGTGCAAACGTTGTTGCGAGCACGCACAACTCACAATCAGTAACATTTTTTTCCCCCCTTCCCCCCTTTTAGCACCACTCCTATTTCCTCAACTTCCGGTATCACATTTTTCTCCTCTTATCTGACAATTTAAAACAAATAACATCAGTTGTCATACTAATTCTCCTTTTTTAAAAATTATTTTCAAATTTTCTTCATAAAACAATAAATCTTAAAAAATTTTTTGTCCTAGGTCAGATTTCAAAAAAAAATTCACTATCTCTTATCAGCAATATTAGACTTTGATTTCTAAAGGTATGTGCGAGTAATATCGCTCAAATATTAAACAGTTTAGTCATCAGGTGTAGGAATAAATTAGCAAAAAAAATTTTTAATTTGTTGCACCTTTTTTTTCCTGTGACAGTCATTCAAAAAAAAAAAAAGAAGAAAAGATTATATTATCTGAGATTGTGAAACACCTTCAATGAGTCATTGCCATAAAAAAAGCGCGCTGACAGCGATCCAAAATGCTATACACACGTATCACACACGGTAAATTTACCACGCGCAGCATATTATACATATAATACTCTCGCGAAGCGCAAGCGAGCGACTGGCCCGTTAAGCGAATAGCCACGGGTTAAGTATGCTTCCTTTCGATATGTGTATATATATATATATATACAATATATATATATATATGTATATTACGTCTAAAATTATTTTAAACTATAAAATTTGAAAAACAAAATTTTTTAAATTTACAATTTTTTAAAATGTTAAAAATTTTATGTTAAAAATAACATTTTTTTTAGTATACCTATTTATAGTGAAAATTATTTTTTATTTAATTTAATTCAGGCAAAAATTTTTTTTATCTAGAACAGCGATATGTTTCTCTAAAATAGGGAAAATTTTTGCTATTCTAGAGAAATATATCATCTATTCCAGGCGAAGATTTTTTTTTTGCGTGTTTTTTAAATAATTGTGAGAATTTTTTTTTTATAGAGTTTCCATGGCAAAAATAATTTTCTCTTTTTAGGGATTGTATTTTTAAATATTTTTCTGATTGTAAAATTATTTTAAAATTTTAAATTAAATTTAAATTTATTTAAATACAAACTATTGCAAGGGAAATAATATTTTTGAAAAATTATATAGTTTTAAGGTATTTAAATTCTGTTGATACGATTTCAGAATTTTATTACCTTTATATACCTGCACCCCGAGCTATATGTTTACATTCAAGTACAAAGGGTATCTTAAATTGCGAAAGCCATAAACAATGTGGCAGAATAATTCCAAAGATAATTAAATCAATTACAATTCGTGTCTTGACCTGTTCACAAGTGCCATAAGTTTGAGTCTTCAACTTTTTTTTTGAAAGAGTCAACATTTTTTTGCGTAAGTGTTAAAAATTCTTAAAATCGAGTCAGTTTTGAGAAATCTTGATCAAAATTCCAAAAAAATTTCTTTTTCTAAAACAATATCACCCTTAAATTTTTTTTTAAATATTTTTTTTTTATTATAAAATTCTTTTAAATTGCGTGATTATTATAGTGCTTTTTACTCTCTGAATTTGAATTAGTAACAATTTTAACTGTAACTCACTTTTTGGTTTTGAATTAGTTAAATTTTGTTAATTCGATAGTAAAAAAAAATTTTTTTTTACTATTAAATTGTACTAATTGAAAAGAAAAAAGTGAATCACTGATTAAAATTTAAAAAATTTTAATTTAGATTTAAAGAGCAATAAAATATTTATTTAAAATTATGAAAATGGAAAAAGTCAAATATTATTTTGTTTTTAAAAACCCCCTTAAAGTAAAAAATGAAAACTTATTTAAAATAAAAAATTTATAAATTTAATTGCAAATTGTTACAAATAGTGAAATAATATTTTGCAAAAGTTATAATTTCAAAGTATTTAAATTATGTTGACAAGATTTTGGAATTTTATTACCTTCATACCTGAACCCCAAACTGTATGTTTACATTGAAGTACAAAGGTTATCTCAAACTGCAAAAGCCATAAACAATATGGCAGAAAAATCCCAAAGATAAATAAATCAATTACAATTCGTGTCTTGACCTGTTCACAAGTGCCATAAGTTTGAGTCTTCAACTTTTTTTTGAAAGAGTCAACATTTTTTTGCGTAAGTGTTAAAAATTCTTAAAAACGAGTCAGTTTTGAGAAATCTTGATCAAAATTCCAAAAAAATATCTTTTTCTAAAACGTTATCACCCTTAAATTTTTTTTAAATATTTTTTTTTTATTATAAAATTCTTTTAAATTGCGTGATTATTATAGTGCTTTTCACTCTTTGAATTTGAATTAATAACAATTTTAACTGTGACTCACTTTTTGATTTTGAATTAGTTTAATTCGATAGTAAAAAAATTTTTTTTTTTACTATTAAATTGTACTAATTGAAAAGAAAAAAGTGAATCACTAATTGAAATTATATAAAAAAATTTAATTTAGATTTAAAGAGCAATAAAATATTTATTTAAAATTATGAAAATAGAAAAAGTCAAATATTATTTTGTTTTTAAAAACCCCCTTAAAGTAAAAAATGAAAAATTATTTAAAATAAAAAAGTTTATAAATTTAAATGCAAATTGTTGCAAACAGTGAAATAATATTTTGCAAAAGTTATAATTTCAAAGTATTTAAAATTATGTTGATACGATTTTGGAATTTTATTACCTTCATACCTGAACCCCAATCTGTATGTTTACATTCAAGTACAAAGGTTATCTCAAACTGCAAAAGCCATAAACAATATGGCAGGAAAATTCCAAAGATAATTAAATCAATTACAATTCGTGTCTTGACCAGTTCAACAAAATTCTAACTTTTGTTTAATTTTTTTGGATGAAAATTTTTTTCCGTGAGTGTTCGAAATTTTTAAAATCGCGATCGTTTAAAAAAGGTATATAATATTTAAATTCGTTTTCGGAAGTGTTCGAAATTTTTAAAATCGCGATCGTTTAAAAAAAGTATATAGTATTTAAATACGTTTTCGGGAGTGTTCGAATTTTTTTTTTTAATCGCGTGTGTTCCCATAGAAGATCTTCTCGTCTATTTTACATTGGTTGCAGACTAAGGTTAGTGGTATTTTTTTTTATAAAAAATAATTGTAACCAATTGTTTCTCTACACAGAAAATTATAAGGTATTAAAATAAGCTGCAACGCTTATTATTTTAATGCAATTTTGCTTATTTTAATACCAAAATGGATTAAAATAATCAAAATTGGATTAAAATAATAAGCGTGTTGCAGCTTATTTTAATGCCTTTTAATTTTCTGTGTACAAAAAAATTATTTGGAATTTTGAAATAAATTGTTTTAATTATTTATTAAAAATTGAAAAAAAAATTTAGTGGATACATTTTGAAATAGAATTCTCTATATATATAGTCGAGAGTCCATTTTCTTTGTAACAAATTATCTTGGACCTACAATAGCTGAAATCGCTAATGCGAGAGTTCAACTATAGTACATCTAAGTTAGACCCCGGATATTTCAACTAAGCTTTGCTAAGTCTTTCTTAAAACGAGAAAAAAGGTTATATACACGAGAAACAGTTGGTTTTCTTCGATACCACCCAGCACAAAACGAAATATATATCTACTTTGAAAACTTCAGGGACACACCCTGAGGTTACAAATAACTCTTCTTCAATTAACCGAATAAACAACTCCCAATATTTTTTTTTTTAATTCATTCTTTTAGAGAATAAATTATATTTATCAACAAACTCATTTTCTATATTTTATATTTACATTATAAAATTATTTATATTATAAATTTTTTTATTTTATAAAATTATTTATAGTAAATTATTTATAGTAAATTATTTATAGTAAATTATTTATAGTAAATTATTTTTATTTTCTGAAATTTGAATTTATAAAAAAAATTGATATTATTTTTGGTTTAATCTTTTGAATTAAGGACAATGGAATTATTAAATACAATTAGAACAAATGCCGCAAGCTCGTTACTTATTACATCGAGCAACGAGATAATAGTTTGCCGCATTATTATAATTATTGTTCCTCTTCGAGCTTAACCGCACTTATCCCTTTTATTTAAGGATTCAATTCCCAAAGTAAACTTTAATTATTATATGTATGTACACAAAATTTAGATAATTACCATTTTATAAGAATATTTTTATTATTATTATTTTTATTCAATTTTTGAATATTAAGCCAAAATTTATTGATGAAATTAAATTTCTACAAAATAGAAATTTATATGCATAGTTTTATAAAAATATTCGATTTTTTCAAATAGAATTTTAAATGTGAAATTTCCCTTGAAGTAAATTTCAATCATTATTCATGTCAAGTTCTTGATTTTTTTTTTGAAGTCTTTTTTTCACTGCGTCTATATATATATACGTATACAATTCAGTAGATAGTTGAATTAATTTTATTTTGCCTTTTTCAAAAGATCCACAAGAAGGACAGGATCTTTTCCGATTGCATTCTTCACAAACGTGTAATAAAGTAAATCGTCGAAAGACCTGTTTGAAGTTTATTTTTACGAAACGCCAAGGGCAAAATCGTTACTAAAGGTAGACAGAGAGAGAGAGGGAGAGAGAGAAAGAGAGAGCAAGAGAGAGCAAGAGAGAGCTTCAGTATTTTTACTTTTATTCGCCCCAGTGAACGTTTGGCGAAGAAATAAAGGAACACCCGCGTGTATATATCCGCACAGAATGGATATCAAAGGCGTGTATCGGTATATAGATATAAAAATTACAAAAAAAAAAAATCACTTGAAATATTATAAAAATAATAAGATTTTTCATTTAATATTTTTCCCCCGCGGATCTCTTGAAAAAAAAAAGTTTTAAAAAAGAAATTACCCAAACTTTTAATTCTAATTAATTCAATGCGCGAGAACAGTAGTAGTGCGTTCTATAAAATGACTGTTTTAATTACTTTTAACTCACTTTTAAACTCAATTCAATCAAGTCTTTTTCATTATCTACTGCAATTTCTTTTTTTTTTCGTAATTAATGCTATTATTAAATTGTTTAAAAAAATAGTTAAAAATATTTAGTTTGAAGAAGAAAAATATCCGATGAAAATAACAAGATTTTGCAGAAACAAATATAGCGCCTTAAAAACAACTTCTCTCCTTGCTTGAAAGTATGTTTAAAAAAATACTATACGTGTAAAGAACGTATGGAAAGAAAATAATATTAAAAATATATAATAACGATAAATTTTTTTTTATTTTTAAATTCTTTTTTTTAAATTCTGTTTTTTTTTTTGAATAAAATTTACCTTGATAAATATTTTCCTTAATATAACAAAAAAAGAATATTGGGAAAATATTTATCGAAAGCGATTCGAGCATGAAAGAAAGCAAATAAAAAAAAATATATTCTTGAAAATACAAAAAAAAATATATTTTCAATTGTTATAAAAAACAATTACACGTATACAATTTTTTTAAATATTTCGCTTTTTACAAAGAGTATTTTTTGGGCTATTCTTAAAAAAAAAAATACTGTAAAAAATATCTAAAAAAAGATCATAGATGAGCAATTACATTTGCAAGTAAAACGAACCAACGCAGTTACCCTAGCTGTCACTTTCTGGAGAGAGTAAAAAAAAGGAATGGATTACTCGTGAAAGAAGAGAGAGAGAGAGAGAGAGAGAGAGAGAGAGAGAGAGAGAGAGAGAGAGAGAGAGAGAGAGAGAGAGAGAGAGAGAGAGTGCGAGAGAGAATTTCGAGAAAGAAACGAACAGAGTTAAAATACGTATTGACGAACTGGCCCCTGTGATCTCTCAAAGAAGAAAAAAAAAAAAGAAGAAAAACATCAGAAAGGGAAATATACGAATAGGAAAACGAGGGCGAGAAAAAGAAATCCCAGAGCAGGTTGGCAAGCTTTATCCAGGTCATTTCAAGTCCTCGCTCGAATATAAAAGACAATTTAATTAGAGGGGGATTTTGCAAAGGAAGATGTAATCCTTTTGACGGGAACGATGGAAACACCTTTCTCTCTCTCTCTCTCTTTCTCCCAATACACCTCATCAAGAAAGAAATACTACTTCTAGAAAAATGGTGAATTAACAACCTTTGTCCAATTACATACGCATTGATTTTACATAAAAAAAAGAGAGAAAAATCACGTACGTCCCTGCTTTATAAATTTATACAATAGTAACTTATTTTTTATACACTCAGAAAAAAGATATGTTTGAACCAAAAATGTACCATTTTTTTATATTTACCCAATTTTTTGGTTAGTTCAAACAAAATTTGTTTAATTCAAATAAATATTAATTTGATCTAAATAACTGTTTGGTTTATTTTAATAAATTTTTTGAACAAAAAAATTAATTTGATTTCGTTAACTAATTGAATTATATAGTCAAAATTTCTACTAATTTTTAGTCATTTTTTTTTACTAAAATTTTAGTTAAAAAAATTACTAAATCAAATAGTACACTGAGAAAAATGTTTAGTCAGAGCAACCAAAATTTGGTTGGGCAAAGAAAAAAATTTTGTTGATATTTAAGCAACCAAACTATTTGTTTGAGTCAACCAAACTATTTCTTTGAGTCAACCAAACTATTTGTTTGAGTCCACCAAAAAAATTTTGTTGATATTTAAGCAACCAAACTATTTGTTTGAGTCAACCAAACTATTTCTTTGAGTCAACCAAACTATTTCTTTGAGTCAACCAAACTATTTCTTTGAGTCAACCAAACTATTTGTTTGAGTCCACCAAAAAAATTTTGTTGATATTTAAGCAACCAAACTATTTGTTTGAGTCAACCAAACTATTTCTTTGAGTCAACCAAACTATTTGTTTGAGTCCACCAAAAAAATTTTGTTGATATTTAAGCAACCAAACTATCTGTTTGAGTCAACCAAAAAAATTAGGTTGAGGGTTTTTTGCTAGCATAACAAAAATGTTTGGTTAGCTCAACCAAATTTTTTTTGTTGGGTCAACAAAAATGTTTGGTTGATGAAACCAACAGTTTTTTTTTTGTAAAATTAAAAACTTTATTCTACCTTATTTCTTTTCTTTTTATCTTTTTTATTTATTTCATTATTTATTTCATTATTTATTTATCAATTTAACATTGAATTTATATTTATCCAATTGAAATATTTATGAATTTTCACTCAGAAAAAAGATATGTTTGAACCAAATGTACCAATATTTACCCAATTTTTTGGATAGTTCAAACAAAATTTGTTTAATTCAAATAAATATCATTTTGATCTAAATAACTGTTTGGTTTATTTTAATAAATTTTTTGAACAAAGAAAAAATTTGATTGAGCTAAATAAACGTTTGGTTTATGCAACCAAATGTTTGGTTAACTGTATATATCAATGCATTTATTTTGTTGATTTAACCAAAATTTGCTTGCTTCAAACCAATTTTTTTTCTGAGTGTATACAAATTTTTGTATAAAAAATAAAAAATATGTTGCGAACAGTAATGAAAAAAAGGAAGTAAATCAGTTTAAAATTAAAAGTATTAGAAAAAAAGGAAATATTTTTTTTTAAAAGAAAATGATCAAGTAAATAAATATTTGTAAATAAAAGCATCAATGTGACAGCACAATATCGAGAAGAACACTATTGCTGTAGAAAAGACAACATGTCATTTTAAAAAGACATGGTCTTCTTTGCGGAACTCGTTCGATATCACAACTTCTATTCTTGTATATATATATATATATATATTTTTTCCAATTTCTTCTTGAAACCTACTTCTCCAGTATATATCTATTGTACCCATTGAAAACATAAAAAAAAAGATCGCTATTGTAGTATAACATAACATTACAATTTCTTTGAATTATAAATATTTATTAACAAAATAATTATTTATCATTGATTACTATTATTAAATAATTATCAAATTATTTACTAAATTATTATTAATTGTATACAATATTTTTAAATTGCCATTATAAGTTTTCCAATATTTCCATTAATTTTTTTCATCGATAAAAAATTATCGTTAAACATTTATTATATTGTAAATATAATTGAAATATAAGTTTGAATAGTGCTGTTAAAAAATAAATGCGATGCAATTTTTGTAAAACTATTAGTAACTTTTCCCTTTTATCAGAAATGGGAAGTAGGTGTATCTGCATTGCTGAAACGAGGGAAAATTGGAATATATTGCCTGATATAAAACGATATGAACGTAAAATTTCTATATGATGCTTACATTGAAGAACCCCCACGTTATTTTCTTCATGAACTCGTATAATGCAGAAAGCTCTAAAAATTATTTATTGACTAAATAATGTATTTAAAAAAAAATGTATTTTAAAAAAAATCTATTTTAAAAAAATGTATTTTAAAAAAAAAATGTTGGTAATTTTTTTAATTTACAAAAATTTAAACTATACATAATAAAATTTTAAGTAATGAATGACACAGAAAACTCCTTGTATTCCCTCCTGAAATTATAAAATATAATTAAAATTTTATTTTTATTTAGTTTTTATTTAAAAGAAACAGTAAAAAATATATAAATTATTAAATAAAACTCAACGAAATTAGACGCATTTTGCCTGGACTGCAACTCTTAATTTTCTACAATTTCCCGTGCAACATTGTTCATCAGATTGACAGTCAAATCTTGATTTAATACATTCACCATTATTAATTGGCACTGTGATAAAAAATAAAATATAAATAACAATGAACACTAGTAATTTCCTCGGATACATTTTACATTCGACTAATTTGTAACACGATGATATAAATTTATATATTTATCCCCTCTCTCTCTCTCTCTTTTCAAAATTCACTTTTACAGTAAACATTTGCTTATATTCTATAAACCATTTCTGCTTGACATTTTAAAAATACATTATATACTTTTGTAACAAAAGAACTGTTAAATCATTTGTCAGATAAAAACAATCTTTTTGCAAACATTATGCGCTTGTGAGTTATATATATAAGTGAATGAAAACAAGTGACATTAATTCCTTCAGGCTTTTAAAAATACAACAACTGTTTTTCAAATCCCTATAATTACTATATAAAATCTATTTTGAGTTTGCGAGGCTTTTACGAAACGCAAAAAGAGAAATAATGTAGTTGTGATATATATGTCTGTTTATGAAAAATTAATACAAATGTTTTTCAATTTGTTTTTATTTATAGAAATTTTTTTTGTTTTTTTTTTAATATGTACGGCTATTCCCAGCTGATATTTTTGCAAAAAACATTTTTTTTCAAATAACCTTTAGAAGAATTAATTTCGATAGGATGAGCGTAAATTATTAATTTTTTTTTTTTTTTGATAAAAAAAAATTCCTTTTTCCCCCAAACGATATGCGAATTCTTTTTTTCCAGTAATTTTCTCTCATGAAGGTAGCGAGGGAAGAAAAAAAAATTTCATTTGAATAACTAAACGTCAGCCCGTTATAACGTGAGCTTTAAAGTTTGCAATGACCGCGGAGCGTGATTTAACGCATAGTGAAAAATTAAATATGAGTATGATTTTAGACGAACAATTTCTATGTAAATGCGACCAAGTCTCGACGACCCTTTCCCTCCTACTTTCGAATATTTTACAATGCCCATTGTTTCGCCCCTGCGCGCTAAGTCACACTTGTGGGTGAGTTTCTCTCTCTCTCTCTCTATATATATATATATCATACCGGAATCTTTTGAATAAACGGATTAGTTGCAAAAAAGAAGATAGGGATAAATATTATTAAAAAAAAAAAATAAGCACTTGGATTTAATCAAAATTTATATTTCTTTGTTTATTTTTTGGTATTCGCTGTATTTTACATTATTTAGAATCGAAAAAAATTTTTTATAGAAAAAAAAAACATTGGATTTTTTATTCTATGAGTTTTATCATATAATTATTTTTTTCGAGAACATAATTTTTTATCTTAAGATATTTCTTTATTGTTATATTGTCGCGGGATCGTTAATTCCAGGTCGTATGTTACATATTAGAATGATTATCTTTCAAGAATCAGTGTCGAATAATGGCTTTTATATAGCCTCGTAGGTTTCATCAAAACACAACAATAATTTGTGTAATCACGATATCTTTACAGGTGGCTGTAAAATTCTTTGTCCTTGTATATATATATATATTTCGAAAATTTTAGGATTTGTTGCCAGCTACGATTTTCGATTAAAATTTTTCACTAAATAGTAAAATATTAGTATTTAATTTAGTAATTTTTCTTTTTACTAATTTTAATAAGAAATTACTTAAAATTAATAGAAATTTTTTCTGATTTTCAAAATATATTACCTACACTGAGAAAAAAAATTTAGTGTTTGCAACAAAATTGTTTGGTTAGGCAATTTTGGTTCTTGTAACCAAATTTTGGTTTGGCTGAAACAAAGTCGTAGAGTTATCTCAACTAAACATTTTGTTAGGCCAACAAAATTATTTGGTGGAACATTTTTAAATTCCAACCAAAATTTAGTTACGACAACAAAATAATTTGGTTGAACATTTTTAAATTCCAACCAAAATTTAGTTACGACAACAAAATAATTTGGTTAACACAACAAAATAATTTGGTTAACACAACAAAATAGTTTGGTCTAAGAAACCAAATGATCGTTTGTTGTCCTAACCAAAATTTGGTTGCGACAACCAAATAGTTTGATTCGCTCTGAGCTCAAAGCTTGAGAGAACAGTTTTTTGAAGTAACCAAATTTTGGTTAAATCAACAAAATAAATGCATTGATATACAGTTAACCAAACATTTGGTTGCATAAACCAAACGTTTATTTTGCTCGAATCAAATTTTTTCTTTGTTCAAAAAATTTATTAAAATAAACCAAACAGTTATTTAGATCATATAAATATTTATTTTGAATTAAACAAATTTTGTTTGAACTAACCAAAAAATTTGGTAAATATAAAAAAATGGTACATTTGGTTCAAACATATCTTTTTGTTGAATGAAAGTACGTAAATATTTCAATTGGATAAATATAAATTCAACTGTTAAATTGATAAATAAATAATGTAATAAATAAAAAAAAAAGGAAAGAAATAAGGTAGAATAAAGTTTTTAATTTTACAAAAAAAACTGTTGGTTTCATCAACCAAACATTTTTGTTGACCTAACAAAAAAAATTTGGTTGAGCTAACCAAACATTTTTGTTATGCTAACAAAAAACACTCAACCTAATTTTTTGGTTGACTCAAACAAATAGTTTGATTGCTTAAATATCAACAAAATTTTTTTGTTTGCCCAATCAAATTTTGGTTGCTCTGACGAAACATTTTTCTCAGTGTACTATTTGATTTAGTAATTTTTTTAACTAAAATTTTAGTAAAAAAAAAATCGACTAAAAATTAGTAGAAATTTTGACTATATAATTTAATTAGTTAACGAAATTTTATTGATTGTTTCGAGAAGGGAAAATTTAGTTATTGAATTTACAATTTCATTTTTTGGTGATAAAAAATTAAAAAGAAGAATTTAACTATTATAAATTTCATTATGTGAAAACTTTAAGTAATGAAATATTTATTAGAAATTATCCTCATAAAATAAAGTACGAATTTAATTTTTATCCTTAGAATAGGGTAATTTCCAATTCAAAACTAAAACGAGAACTTGTCAAATCGATTTATATATACTTTACGTAATCTTGAAACAGAATTCTCTTTCTCTCTCACTTAAGATAATTTGGTTTGCATTGAAATGAGCATCTTGTGGCATTTTATCAAGTATCTTCTATTATATATTTATTCTACTTTGATAATTTGATAATGAATGTAATTTGAAAAGAAAACAGGATTTGTATTTTTGCATAATCGATCTGTAGAAAATAATTGAATGTCTAAAAAATTGAAAATTTTAGTGTTAATATTAATAAATATTTCTCTCTCTTTCTCTCTTTTGTGGAAAAAAAGAGTAGGATTGAGGCAGTGCAGTGGGCGAGTTTTAAAGGGGATTGTTGAGAGAGATCGTCGATTATGCAAGAAGCCAAGCCCGAGCTTTCCAAGTGAAGAGTGGAGAATATAAATGGCTTTTGGAGGGTGCATACACCTTCTGGAGCACGTTATCAAAATTGAATTTCCGAATATGGCCGTTCAGTGTGGCAGGTTTCTTTATTTATGTCCTACTTGTAGACCCGGCTTTGTCGATATACAATAGAAATTTGTTCGTGAAACGTGTCAGGGAAGTTGAAACATTCGGGTCCACTTGCCCTGTTGCCTTCGGATAAACTTTTCCGAGATACCCTTTCTAACTAATCTTGCACATGATGGTAACTTCCAATCGAACGCTTTTAGTTTCTTTTTTCTTTCTTTTTTTTTATAACAATTTTTTTACTTCCCCTAAGTTGACATTTAAATTTACGAATGTTAGTTTCTTAATTACTATAAAAAGTTTTTAATTAAAGATTTTTTTTTTTTTTTTATGTAACGAGAGAATTTTTCGCAGAACTTTTCTCTAGGATTTTGATATTATGTTTCCTGGGGATATAAAATGTCACTTTCTCTATAAAGCAATTACCTCAAGTTGCCGCGCGTCCCCTCCATATAACTCGTTTATGATCCTGCGAGATTTGAGTAAAAGTTATGACTGAAGACTTGGTTTAACAAGCTCTGATTAAATCATAAATGAACAAAGATTTAATACTATTTTCAGTAGACAGTCATTTTGATTGATGTTTTTAAAAAAAAAACAGGACACTTATCCTTACAATAAAAATTTTTCAAAAAAAAACCTTTTTTTGTGAGAAAAAATAGTCCAATTTCATTTTAAGACGTTATACAATATTATACGTTACTTGGGAAAAGCTTGAAGCAAACAGAAAATTACTGATATGGTGAGGGGTTTTCTCCTTTTCTACTTTTCCCTCAAGTTCTCTCCATTTCCATCAGAGAAGAACAAACATTGCTCTTGCTAGACTTGATTCTCCCAAGAAGACTATAGGGAAAATGATAGCTCGCATGCTCAAAATGCGAAGGGTAATTGAAACAAGTTCAAGTTTGTTGAAACTTTTTTAATGAAAACCCTTTTTTTTCAATTTTGCCAGTAGTTAAAAAAAAATAGGTTAATGAAAACTCTTTTTTTTTCAATTTTGCCAATAGTTAAAAAAAAAAAAATAGGTTAATGAAACAAATACGTGTGTAGAAAAAAATTTAATTGCAAAAAATTATTTACTTATTTTTTTACAAATTCATAATAAGATTAAATTTTCATGAACTGTGATTGGTGAGAAAAGTAGACATTTTTTTAAATCTACCACATATCCCAACAAGATTTCATCCAGCGTGTGTTGCTAAAAGGAGTGTAAAACTTAGTTGAAAAAAGTATCAAGAAAAATGTTTGTAAATCCTACATTCTACTTTCTCTCTCTTTCTCTCTCTGCACTTTTCTCATCAATCAAACTGACACTCGACTACACTCCCATGAAATCCATACATGTACAAGATTTTAGATTTCGGCAGATCAAACCTTAAAAAATAATTCACTTTGAATCTCTAACTGTAAAATTTTTCCAGAAAAATTAATATTAAAAAAATTCTATTTATTTATTAAATTTTTAAATGAAAATTAGTAATTTTTAGTGAATTTAATTACGTTAAAAATTGGTAGAATATACTTTTAATTTATTTTATAAATTCAAATATTCAAAATAATAATATTAAATAAAAAGAAAAATAAATTTGGCAATGAATTATTGTTACTTCATTTTGCATATGTGAATAAATGCCTCGTTTTTATATAATCCTATACGTGTATGTATATAATACATAGAGAGAGAGAGAGAGAGAGAGAGAGAGTAAGTGCTGAGAGCAGAGGCAAAAGGGTGAGAGAGAGCATT